ATTCCGTCGTACTTTGTCGCGCATGTGGAGACTTCGGTGGGATAACGAGCATAAAGAAGCCTTTTGGAGGCTGGCTCTTGATGGTTTCCCTGCCTTTCCTATGCATAGGGCGCAACGTCAAAGAGGTATCCCGGCTGCTATGTGCCCCTGTGGTGTACGCATGCTTTGTGGGGATCGTCGGCATCATTTCTGGGATTGTACTGTCGCGTTGGCTCTTCGTGAAGCTCTGCAAAACGAACTTGAGTTCCCTGACCTTTTCAACCGGGCTAACCTGTGGTTGGGCATTCCACCAACCTGGATTTGTTCGTGTGTATGGGAGGTTGTCTGCCTCGCGGCCATCAGCTCACTCAATCTCGGTCGCCGTTTGTTGTTTAAGGAAGGTCTCCAGACCAACATGCCTATATCAACGCCATCGCTTAACCGCATTACATACGAGGTTATCTCTGACTTTTGGGCCCGTTTAACTGCTTTTGCGGCACGGGATTACTTGCCAAAACATTGGGATCATGTACCTCACAATCACCCTTTCTTATATGTCAATGACGCAGACATGGTTGCTTGCCGTTTACCGATATACAATGACGAAGTTTGAGGGCGCACGTCGGAGCCTCAATTTTTTGTTTAAGCGTACTAACTGAGGCCGTGTGTCCAGTGAAGTTAGTACGGCCTGGCCGAGTTCTTTTTGAATAAGGCCCACAGTGTTGTGCGGGAGGCGTTCCTATGGGCGCTACACTCGACCCGTTCGGGGTCCACTGTAACAATCGCATCCTCAAGGGCTGCCAAATCGCCTATAAGCACCATCCTACCTCGCACTTCCAACGAAACAAGTAATGAAGTATACTAACGACCAAAGGGAACGATAGAGTTGCGGTGAGACCATATACGTTCCAGCATTCTTGCCAGGCGTCCAGGTTCCCACTTCATAGCGTCCTTCATATGTTCGAAGCGTGGAAAGCCCATATCAGATCTGATTCCGTCGTAAACCGGACAGTCCAGCAAAATGTGTTTCTCATCCTCGATGTGGCTATCAGTGCCGCAGCAGGGGCATACTCGCTCCTCCCTAGGTATATAACGCCGTCCCTTACGCGCTCTGTTAGCCGCCAGTGCCCAACAGCAAAGCCTAAACTGCATAAGCTTGCAATTCGCCGAACGTGGGATAAACATTGTGATGTGCGGGAGCACCTCCTTCCTGCCCGCTTGCTCGGCCGCCAGCCCCATCCAATGCTTATACTTCGCCATGTGAATTCCTGGTTGTTTGCCGTCTGACGGATACACGTCAGGCTGGACATCTAAACGTGTATGCTTCCAACCACTCACTAATCGGTCCTTGAACTCCGAAATCACACCTTCTGGCATTGGCTTGTTCATCAGCCACTCCACTCGTTCGTCTACCTCGTGTAGCCCTTGCGGGGCCTCT